TACCAAAATGACCTCTTCAGGGTTTCTCGCCTCTGCCAGCTGGCACGCTCTCCTAGAACCTGGATCCCACCTTATTTCTCTCACCTTATTTCTCTCCCTTGTATTCCAGCACCTGGGACAGTGCCTCATTGTTGAACTGATTTTCTATCTATCTATCTATCTATCTGTCTGTCTGTCTGTCTGTCTATCTATCTATCTATGGCTGCGTTGGGTCTTCGCTGCTGCACGCAGGCTTTCACTCTAGTTGCTGCAAGCGGGGGTGACTCTGTTGTGGTACGCGGGCTTCTCATTGCAGTGGCTTCTCTTGTTGCACAGCATGGGCTCTAGATGCGTGGGCTTCAGTAGTTGTGGCACACGGGCTTAGCTGCTCTGTAGCATGTGTGTTCTTCCCAGACCAGGGCTCGAACCCGTGTCTCCTGTATTGGCAGGAGGATTCTTAACCACTGCGCCACCAGGGAAGCCCGAATTGATTATTTTCTAAGTACCTACTTAATTCTAGAAACTGAGCTAGGCAAGAGAGCTATAAAGATGATAACAAACAGATACCTTGCTCTTCTAGCATCTCACATGCTGGAGATGAACCTGAAAACAAATCACTTATGGCAACATGATGAGGTTACTTAACATCTTTGAGTCCCAGTTTCCTCATCTACGGAATGGGTTTACTAACACCTTTAGGGCTGTAGATAGAAGAGACAATGCATGAAAACAGCTGGCACAGTGATGGACACACAGAAAAAGCTCAGTACTTGGATGATGATAGCGATGGAGACGGTGGTGATAATGACAATGACGAGGCTGGGATGCAGCAGGACAAGTCCATAAACAGATGACTCGAGTTCCATAGGAAGCGCTGTGATAGATCGAATAGCATGCGGTGGGGCATGGAGGAGGAAGTGACTAATTCTGCCTGAAGAAATATGGAACAAGTTCTAGGAGGAAGTAAGTTTTAAGCTAATTCTAAAAGGATGCATATGTGATTCCCAGCCAGACAAATGACTGGGAGATCATTTACTGATTGAGCCTTACGGGCTTTTATAGAGCAGTTGCTCTAACCAGGGACAATTTTGCCCCCCCCCCCCGCCCCGGGGACATTTGGCAGTGTCTGGAGACATTTTTGGTCATCACAACGGGGGTGAAGGTGCTACTGGCATCTAGTGGATAGAGGTGACGGATGCGGCTCAACACGCTACAATGCACAGGACAGTACCTACAACAAAGAGTTATCTGGCCCCAAAGGTCAATAGTGCTGAGGTTGAGAAAACTTGTTATGAAGAATCACTAAGGTAGATATAACCATGAAACAATAGCTTATTTAATACAATCAAATGACAGTTTCCTACTTAAACATCAACCTTCTCTGTAAGTACTGAGCTTCAGGATGGGGAATGTAAGGTGACAAAGAGGGAGACTGGCAACTCCTGGAAGTGATACAGTAGTCACTATTGAAAACCAATCCTGGGGGCTTCCCTGGTGGCGCAGTGGTTGAGAGTCCGCCTGCCGATGCAGGGGACGCGGGTTCGTGCCCCGGTCCGGGAAGATCCCACATGCCGCGGAGCAGCTGGGCCCGTGAGCCATGGCCGCTGAGCCTGCGCGTCCGGAGCCTGTGCTCCGCAACGGGAGAGGCCACAATGGTGAGAGGCCCGCATACCGCAAAAAAAAAAAAAAAAAAAAAAAAAAGGAAAACCAATCCTGCTGTATGTTATGTAAGTTCTATGTGAAGTCAATAGAAAGACAAGTAACTTTTATAAGTTACTTTTTATACTTCTCTCTGAAAGTTCCCTAAGTTGTTATGAGGCCAGTGATCCATTTTGTGTAAAGAGACTTAACTTGTCTTTCCTAAGGATGGCAGGAGAATTATATTTTAATGGTCTCTGTGCTGAATGGAATGTATGAGACATAAATATTCTTTAAATTTTTATTTAAAATCTCGGTCCACAAGTCTGAGCCTTTATGAGACCATTTTCTGACTCAGCTGGGCTACGGCCCATTCATAGCATCACCTCTTTTATAAATTGGTTCTTTACTAGGTATAAAGTTCTTACCTGCTGTCCCAAGGCTTTCAAAACACCCACAAGCCACCTGCATTTTATGTTATGAGATGGAATTATTTATATTCAATGTTGGATAAAATTTAGTTAAATTATAAGGTGCCCCCAAAGTTTACGGTGATAAATATTATAACAGAAGCATTCCAAAGTTCTCTGGGAGCCCAGAGGTAGGGGCACCTGAGTGGACCAGGAAGACAGGGGAGGCATCAGAGAGGTGAAGATACTCAAGTTGACACTGCAGGATCAGCGTGTTGGTCTGACTCAGAGGAGGTGGGGAGGGAAGGATGGTCTAAGCTGGGGGAATACCAGGGTATGTTTGAAGAACAATAAACAGCTCAATGGCACTAGAGCCAAGGGTGCGTTGATGGCAGTGGTGGAGGTAAAGCTGGCCCATGCACCCCCTCTGCAAACAGCCATCTTCGGCCATCCCCTGGGGGGAGTGGTCCCAGGAAGAGCCCGTGCAGGTTCCGGAGGCTGGTTTGGAGCCCTCTGAGCAGAGAATGAGGTCCTGGTTACTTGAGTGGGGTCTCTGATGTGCCTTTCGGCTCTGGGAGATCACGGCCCCTTCGTCCTTCAGATTCCTTGCCCTGGTGTAGTCAGTGGAGGGCCAGAATGGGGTCCTCTAAAATGCAGTGCCCAGGGCAGGGGCCCCTGTTGCCCAGGTCTGAGGGTCACACTGCTGGGAACACATCTGGAAGCGGCTGAGCTGGGGTTTGAAGCTGGGTCTGTCTGGGAAAGCCCATGATCCTGCTGCGTGGTGCCGAGGCACCGTATTGCTTTGGACAGGATTCTTGGGAAGATGGTTCACACTAAGGAATCCTAACCCGCACACGTCGCATATAAACACTGTCATTAGTGTCACTAATGTTCCCATTTTCCGGTATGCCTTCTCTGTCACGTCCAGGCTTTGCAGACTCAAATAAGAGAGGAATGCCTTTCTCTTCTGTCATGCCTTAATTCCCACCTCTGCCACGTAAAAATAGAAAGGCACAATTTTAACTGACAGGAAGTAATGGTTCTTCTTAGTAATAATGAAAGTGGAGTGTAGAGTTTAAAGCAGGCTTATATACATTAACTTGTCAGCTCTGCCGAGGGAAATAGCTCCACCTGTCAGGGGAGGGAACTGTGGTTCCAGAAAGTTACGTGACTTGTCCAAGATCACCCCAGTTGTGAGTGGGGGAGCCCACACTGGAACCCATTCTTCTTTATTGGGTGGTCTTCTCTGACTAATGCAGCATGATTTTGAATACTCTGCATAGACTGATTGCCACATTGAGGAGGCATAAACAAGATAAATCCCTCTCCGGGGTGAACTAAATTATTGGCAGCCCCATATTTTATCAATGTCACTCAGCCAGCCTTAACATAGGCCTCTTCCCAGCTGAAGACAGTCAGGTTTTGGAGGGGGGCGGATGTCGAGAGGTTTGTGAGTGACACACAGACCCCTAAAATCGACGGTTAGTTCCACTGACATTCTAGGCACAAGTTTTAATGCAACTTCTATTATTCTGATGTTCCAGTTTCATTTTTCGATTTTATCTTCTCAAACACAAAAGAAAGTGTTTAAAGTGTTCTACTCAAGCTTTCTCAGAGGATGGTACCAAGTGTGCAAGCTGGCTGGTTCGGTTGTCAGTGTCAGAACCTGGGTTTCAGGAGAGGACGTGCCTGTATGCATAGCTGTGTAGGTGTGTACGTGCCTGTACATACGTCTGGGAGGGGTTTGCGTGTGCAGGGTGTGTATGGAGTGATTTCTGTGTGCCAGGTTCCACTCAGAGACTGATGAATGTAACCTTATTTAATCCTCATCACAGCCCTGGTTGGAGGCACAACTGTCCCCCTTTTACGACAGAGGAAATAGAAATCACAGAGTAAGGGAAGCAGCAGAACTGGGGCTTGAATCCAGGGGTTCTATCACTCAAGCTCTTTCCACTCCACCCACAGTGCATACAGATACACTTATTTGCCCAGAGAGAACATAGTGATCATAAAACCTATCTGGGCGAATCTACACATTCAAGACCCAGCTATAAAAGGAATGACAGAGGCGGGCTCTGGAAGCACAGAAACTGTTCCATGTCTACTGTGGCTTTGAGCTCACTACAGCAGAACAGGTTCTTTGCTGATGCTGGTGACAATGAGACCTGAAAGTGGCACCAAGATGCAAGCCTCCGTCTGGGAGTCAAAAGGCTAGGGTTCCAGGTTTGGTTCACCCACTGATAAAAACCAAAACACAGCTGGAGAGGAGTTTCCAGAACATTCTCTCATGAATCTTCACAACAACAGTGTGAAGTAGACGCCACTGTGCTCGTTTTATACATGGGGAAACTGAGGCCAGAGAGACCCTGTCACATTCTCAAGGTCAGGAATCTGATAGATACCAGTGTGGAGACTCAAACCCAGGTCTTTAAACTCTGAACAGCATCTTCCCACAAGGCAAGCTGCCTCTGCCTCGGGAATTTTCACACAAATATTTTAACTCACAGTAAACCCCTTCTTTTGAAACCTGGAGTCCGGGAAACACCACTCATGTGTATTCACTTTCCCTAGTTTTCACTTTCCCATTGTTTTGCACCACTAACAAGCAATATTTCATAGATTGCGGAAACAGGCATATACATTAGAGGTCAAACCTCTGTCACCACAATAGACATCTGTTTTCCCAGTGACGGTGGATTCTTTCTCCCATGCTCTGATCACTTCATACCGTGTTTTCAGGCCAGGTCAATATTTCAGGGTGTTGGCACGGTCATTATCAAGGAAGCCATTACTGAATGATTCGTTGATTATACAAAGATGTATCGAGTCCCTACTGTGCTCCTTGCATTGTGCTATGTGAGCGTGGTGCAAGGCTGAATAAGACACATTTCCTAACCTCCCGAGAAGTTTCCGCATTGACTGGCCACCACCTTCACTGCTTGGAAGGATGGTGGCGGAATTGGAAAGCCTTACTTGGTGTGACCTGGCGCGATGGTGGTGCAGTTCGCATCCCTGTGGCAGGGGTTCTTAGACTCACAGACGTCGGTCACGCTGCACCCCACTCCAGGGACAAAGTTGCGGTAGTGTTCCGCACACTCGCAGTGAGCCTTCAGTCGATGGGAAGAGAAGAGCAAAGAGTGTTCTCGTTAGTCACTTAGGCTGACATTCTTCTTAAATTCCTTTCTTTATTCTGCCATAAAAGCTGACTTGGGGTAGGTCTAGAGTGTGGGCTGAAACTAAAATTTGTCAGCGGATCCAGAATTGGAAATCATGTTCACATCTCATCTGTTTGGAAACTCATACACCTTGCTTGTAGTTCACACTTTCAGTTCTTTGGTTTGCTAACCCTGGGCCTCCCTGGCACCATACTTCCTGCTTTCAGATTTAGGTGAGTAGAGACTGAGGCTCAGATGGGAGGTATTATTTCTCTAGAATAGTGGTTTTCAACCAGGAGTCTCAACCCAAGGGACATTGGGCTTGTAGACATTTTTGATGGTGACAACAGGGTGGGGGGACAGTGCCACAAGAGGCCAGGGATGCTGTTAAACATCATACAATGCACAGGATACTTCCTACAACAAAGAGTTCTCAGGTCCAAAACGCTAATCATGCCAAGGATGAGGAACCCTGTTCTGGAATAATGAACGCACTGCTTCTGTGTGAACGATGGAGGGTTTCTAAGGCTTGAAAATATGCCTTGGGACCCATTTTTAAAGTGACAAAGTATATGTTTTAATCTCACTCCCAAGGTCCTGGGGCTTTGGTTCATGATGTAACATGACTTTTCCCATAAGGGACCTCATTTAGAGGATGAGAATTTAGCCCTTTGAATTCCTTACAAGCTAGCCTCAGAAATTGATAGCAGAAATGTCATATGATGTATTCTTTTTCTCGGACGTGAGATCGGGTGGATTCTCTGCAGGGGACTCCAGGAGCATCCCCATGGGGTGTAGATTAGACTGCTGGGGACCCATGACTGGGTTCGGTCAGACACTGAAGGCTTTCCTCTCACCCAGGCAGCAGTAGTCTCTTGTATGGATGGGTTTCCTCCACTGGACACTTGACATGCAGTTGTGGCTGCAGTGGGCACCCACTACATATTTGGTGGGTGAATGAGATATTGAGGAAAGAGCTCTTTGATCTGGACTCTGTAGCAAAGGTCTCCCGACTAGGCTGAATTTTACCAGTCAAGGTCATGACGTGATTTAGAAAATCACCTATGTCTCACTCCAGAGTATCTTCATTGCTCCCTACAAATCTGTCTTTGCTGCCTGACATTTTATCAGCATTCATCCCTTTGGGACAGAGTATTTTGGTCCTAAGAGTCCCCTCTCACTTTGAAAAGACATTAGAGAGACTGGAGGAATGCAGGTGAAAGTCAATTACATATTTTCCCAAGACTTCATTAACAGTTAATTTGTTAATAGAATTTGAGCTATGTGTATATATGTTGTCAATCATCAAACAGGACTGGGATGGAGGAGACAGTGAAGTTTTGACTGGAGAGCTGGGAAAGGGCGAGTTCAGAGGGTAGATCATGGCTCCCTGAGGTTGACCCCAAGCACACGGAGGTCTGTCTGGACAGGAAGCCCGACCTGAGCATGGAAAGGGAGAACTGAGACAGCACAGTTTTACCTTCAGCGGGTGGTCCTACTTCTATTCTCATCAGTTCCAACATCATTAGCTCACCTGTCCGGGCCCATCATATCTGCACACCGTGGACTCTGTAGGGCAGTTTCCAAAGTTAACTTGGCAGGGGTCCACTGGTAGGCACACCTGGCCGTCCCCGTGGTAGCCTTCTTGGCACGTGCAACTGTGCTGATTTGGTCCTAGGTAGGTGCACCGTGCGTGAGGGTGGCAGGTGTTTTGTGAACATGGGTTGATGGCTGGAGAAGCAATGACGAAATAAGGTGGTTACCACACTCAGGGAAGGAGAAGGAAAACTGAACTGTGAAGGGATTGCAAATCACAGCTTATCCAAGCTGCAAAGGCAATTCAACAGTTTTAAGAGAGAGAGTAAAAAACATTTCATCTTACCCTCCTGATCACCCCATTGACCAAAAAGATTTACATATGGCCATTAGAAATTATAATTACAAGTACTGTGATGATGTATTATTATGCCATGTTATGTGTGGGTTTAAATATAAAATCGCATGAAAGAAAGCACTGATATTAATAGAATTTATAATACGTACTGGGCCCATTTCTAAGCATTTGCCATATGTGAACTCAGTTAATCCTTACAACCCCCTAGCGTAGTTACTATTATTATCCCCATTTCATAGATAGGAAAATGGAGGCACAGGTAGGTTAAAGAATTTGTCCAAGGTCATATTGTTAGTAACAGGCAGACCTGGGATTTATACCCGGGCAGCCGGGCTCCAATAGCATGTTCATAACCAACACACAACCACTCATGAAGTGAAACAGCATGAAAGGAAGTAAGGGGACTTCCCTGGTGGCGTAGTGGTTAAGAATCCGCCTGCCAAGGCAGGGGACACGGGTTCGATCCCTGGTCCGGGAAGATCCCACATGCCGCAGAGCAACTAAGCCCGTGCACCACAACTACTGAGCCTGCGCTCTAGAGCCCACGAGCCACAACTACTGAGCCCACATGCAACAACTACTGAAGCCTGCGCACCTAGAGCCCGTGCTCTGCTACAAGAGAAGCCACAGCAATGAGAAGCCCATGCACTGCGACGAAGAGTAGCCCCCGCTCACCACAACCAGAGAAAAGCCTGCGCACAGCAGCAAAGACCCAACGCAGCCAAAAATAAATAAATAAAATAAATTTATTAAAAAAAAAAAGGAAGGGAGGAAGGAAGAAGGAAGGAAGAAACAAACTACATTCTATCTTAATATTGATTTAGGTGATATAGAAGAAGAAAAACGTACAGTTACTAGGGGGGAAAGTGGAGGGGGAAGGGATAAATTGGGAGGCTGGGACTGACACACACACACTACTATATATAAAAGAGATAACTAATAAGAACCTATTGTATAGCACAGGGAATTCTGTTCAATGCTCTGTAATGACATATATGGGAATAGAATCTAAAAGAAAGAGTGGATATATGTATAACTGATTCACTTCACTGTACAGCAGAAACTAACACAACATTGTAAATCAATTATACTCCAAAAAAATTAATTGAAAAAGTGTAAAAATCTATATATGTGCTTTGATAACAAGAGAACTTGCCATTTATTGAAGAGCTACCACATGATGAGCATTTTGCTTAGAATTTTTAATATACGTCATGCAACTACACAGAGAGAAACAGAAGTGGTCATTGCGTTAATATTAAGAAGGTTGTGAGGTTTTTTTCTGTTGAGGAATCTAACCGTCTCAATGGATAAACCAGCAGGATCGAAGTTCTACTCACGCTCGCAGTGTCTGCCATCGCCTTTGTAACTGGGGATGCATCTGCATTCTAGTTTTGTTTCATCTTCGCTGGAAGGTGAGCATCTGGAATTTTCTGGGCAGAGCAAGGCTGCACATTCTGGGATGGCTGGAAAGGAAGATTGTTGAGGTAATGGCCTTAGTAGAACAACCAGTTCTAAAAAAATCTCAACAAATGCAATATTCCCTATTATTACAAAAGTGACACAGATTCAGTGTAACAATTCAAAAAATACAGAACCAGTAAAGCAAAAATGAGCTGTCTTCTTCTTCTCATTCTCCCATCCCACTCCCACAATAACCAATGTTAACAACCAATAAAATACATTTATGTGTAAGATTTTCAAAAGATGAAATGGGATCCTGTTAAAATATTTAGGAACTTGATTTTTAATTTAACAATATATTATGGAGGTATGTAAGGGTGTACCTTAATCTCTACTGACTGCACAGCATTCTATAAGATAGATGGGGCTTAGATGGCTGTTAAAAACTATAGAGTCTGGCATAATTAGCCAACTTGCAAAGCGAACAAGTTGGGCTGACACAGTCACATGGTTGCTGCTAGAAGATATAAGATGCCCGGGTCAGAGCTAAAGGACCATTTATCACTCACATCAGGAGCAGTAGTCAGAATGTCAGCATTTTTGGACCAGTTCTTCCAAGCCCTGGTTCCCACAGGGCAATGCAGAGAGGGCCATACTGAGACCTGAACAGGCAGCGGATTTCATTACAGAAGAGGAGCCCTGAGCTTAGGGAGCTGAAATGCTTTTCAGTTTGTTTTTAAATAAGAGGCAATGTACTGCTTAGGGCCCAGGCAAGAGAGAGAAACCATGCAATTGTTTGAACAGTGAAAATTTTAGTGTGAAGATTCATGAACAGAGTGGACTAACAGGGAAGTGGCTCCTGACAGCTAAAAAGAGCTCAGAAGCATAAAGGAATGGAAGAAAAATAAAGAGCAACCACTCCTCTCGGGTTAAGATAAGAGTAAGTCCTCCCCTTCCAGAGCTGAGACCCGGATGTCACTGGCAAGGACGTGGCCTTGGTCACTCTACAGCAGAGAGGTTGCTGACGTGTCTGCTGGTGACACTTGCTGGAGGCCATCCCTCTGGGGCCCCAGGGAAGGTCATCCACAGGGAGCTGCCAAGCCTGGGAAAGCGGCTTGCCTCTGGATGCTACTGGAAGCAGAAACTGAGAAGCCCACCTTCTCAGAAGCGCGGCGTACTCCTGGGCGTGACCGGGGCAGGGGTGGTCTCAGGGGCCAGCTGTGTGGCATGGAGGCGGGTGGTCAGCTCTCTGGTTGGCTGGTCCTGCGGGGCCCTTGCTGTGCATGGGGCTGAGGGGAGGGTGTGCAGAACAGCTCCTGAACTGGGCCACCAGCCTGCACTCTCTAGGGCTCCTGGCTATGCTCTGCCGCCCGAGTCAAGCACTAGACAAGGTATGCAGTGGTCAAATACTGGAGGATGCTAAGCCTTGCCAGAACCTAGTGCTGGAGAAACTGTGCAGGGCTGAGCAGCGGAGCAGAGCCGTGTTCTTCAGGAGCCTGGTGAGTGAGCTAACCCAGAAACAAGAAGAGAAAACTCTTGCTTCTTCGGTGTCCCTTTAGCACCCTCTATTGATAAGGCTTCACATCTTACTGGCTGACAAATGAGACCTATTCCAAAGCCCACCTCCATATTCACAGAGCAGGCAAAAAGGGTGAATTTGGAGCTGAGAGGCAATCCACTGATAACTGGCACAGGCAGTAAGCGTGCCCGCACTTGTTCCCGAGGGAGGTCCTATATCTTCCAAGGCTGTTCGCTCTACAAACATCCTTGTAAAGATGTTGGAACAAAGGGCAGTCAGTGTGCTGCTCCCAAGATGTGCACAAATGTGATGTATGCGTTTGTCTTCCAACAGTGACTAGTTGAATCAAAAATTCATAGAGAATATCCCCTCACCTCTTCCATAAAGTAGAATTGTTGCTGAGAAGGGGCTACCCTTTCAGGATCACATTTTCCACCCCTCTTTGCATCCAGGTGGGGTTATATGACTAGTCTACGTTGACGGAATATTGGAAGTTCTATGTATTATTCTGAACTTTATAAGGAGATGCTTCTCTACACTCTCTCCTTCCTTCCATGGCTCAAAGCAGAGCACTCGGAGGTGCTACGGAATGGCAGACGCATGCAATGGAAGGCTCTGGATCTCTAAACACCATGTGGCGGGGAGCTGGTGGGGGCCAGGAACACCCACATTGCACTGTTACATTAGTAAGAAATAAACATCTGTTGTGTTAAGCCAGAGGTTCCCCAAATTCCCAGGTCACAGTGCCCTTAGTGTTTCAGTATTTTTTTCATGGGACCCCAATACAAAAGGAATATCTACCGGTTCATTTACTAAGTTGTTAGAACTAAAGAATTCAGTGACTATTTATGTCATGATAACGTAGTAGCCATCTGAAAAAGTAATACGGTTAATAGGAAGATTAAATATTTGATTCTTAAACAACCACATTTACTTACTAACGGGACACGTGAGCTTGTTGGAGATGGCACAACTTCTGCAGCCTTGGAATCAGATTGGAAACTACCACCCTCCTTCCAGTTAAAATGATTTTTGCATGGTACTTACTTTTTACCACAGTGACCACTGGAAATGCAGCTTTGTAAAGAAATGACACCACCGGACAAAATGTAGCGCTACCTAATGTTGAAATTGTGTACTAACTCAGGTTAACATTTCATACGATATTCTACAGATGTATCACCGTTTCCCTCAGAAATTAAAAATATCCCATAGCAGCCCTGTGAGTTCGATGGGGACCTTTGGGATGCCTTGGCGCAGTTTTGGAACCGTAGTGTTAAGCCATTGGATTTTTGTGTTGATTTCTTTCAGCAGCTAGCATTCTTCTAACTAGAATAGGATGTACCACACTTCACTCAACCACTTCCTACTCACGGACGTTCAAGTTGCTTCCAGCTTGCTTTGTTCTTAAAAACAATACTATCATGAGTTTCTCTGTACATATATTCTCACCTACCCACCCCTCCAGTCCTCTAGGTAAATTCCTAGAATTGGGGCTGTAGCCTCAAACTGTAAGCATCCTTTAAAATTTAATAGATACATATCTCTATAGATTGTAGCAATTCACATCCCCACTGACAGTAGCGTAATTTTTCTCACACCCACAGATAGATATGACCTAGGTTTTCAACCTGTGTAACACAGTGGGCAAAAAACCAGAACCAAACCAAAACAAAACCTCCCAAACTCCAATGTACTACTTCATTATGGTTTTAATTTGCATTTCTGTGACTCCTAGTGGGGTTAAGCACCTCTTCTATGCTTCTTGGCCAGTTTTCATTTCTTCCTGGGAATTAGCTGCTCCTTGGCTGATTTTAAAGGTGGGCTCATGGACTTTCTATTATAAAAACGTTTCTGCCGTGTGGATTGCAGATATTTGTGTCCCAGTCTATTTATTTTCTGACTCAACAGCATTATTTTGTCATTTGGAAGCAAATCTTTTCATGCTGTCTATTAGGCTGGATCTCTGGTCTTATTAAAAAGCGTTTTTGGTTTGTGTTTGGGTTTTTTGCTCATGAGTCCCCTGGGCAGTACAGGAGTAGCTGGGGAAGGAGGCTGATTGAGGGCTATGGAAGGGGTCCACCCTAACCAGCTGAGTTTCATTCTGCCGTTGATTCATATTGGCTGTTTGCATGTCTGTCTCTTCCACAGGAAGAAGGCAGAGGCTGTCTTTTATTCATCCTCCTTTCTACCACTGCTCATATCTTCTCAACGACTTTCAATAAAGTGCGTTTGAATTTTCTGAATTTGATTCTTGTCTCATCCCTTTATTTTACAGACCAGGAGAATAAAATCCAGAGGATAACTTAAGTGAAGCTATTGTCACAGGCAGCATGTCCAATTTCCTAACGGCTAAGCTCCAAATTCACCCTTCACCACCTGCTCTGTGATAACGGGCTGGACTCTGAACATTTCTCCTTTGCAGGAGAAATGTTAATGTTTATGTTAATCTTGGCCAGTAGAGGGCGCCGGAGGGCCACCGCAGGAGGAAGGGGCTCCGCTTGCCGGTTCTGCTGTGCAGTGTTGCGCTTCTGCTGTTTGCTGCCGCTGCACAGCCTGCCAGTGGTGTGGGTGTGTGAGGACATCCAGGGATGCCCTGTCCCAACTGTGCACTCAGAGTGCACAGTTCATTGGTGACCTTGCATCCCTGGCCTGGACCCGGTGGCCACCTTCCCACAGCCCTCCCCACGCACGGACATTGAAGGTTCCAGGTTTAGCACCCACGGTGCCCCGACTCCCTCTGTCCACTTGTCCCCCAGCCTCGGCTCATCAGTGCCCTGAAGGCTTGTTGCCTGCCTTTTGGGTGACTGTGCTCCCATGCTGGCTTGGGCAAACCAGCAAACCTCTCCCCTACTAAGTGGGCTGCCACCACCCCTTCTCCAGCAAGATTTGAGCCCAGCCTTGGGGATGGCTGTCCCCTTCCAAGTTTGCCCTTCTTTGTTATGCCCCATCAGCCCTACAGTTCATTTTGCATTTTTATAGCCACTCTCCTAACATAGCTTACTAATTCTTTATATTAAACTTCCCTTGCTGCAATCACCCTGTGGTCTCTATCTTTTGATTAAACCCAGTGTGATCGACTGTTTAGAGAATTTCAGTGACTTGAGTCCCAGCTCACTTATTTGCTATTCTGTGAACTTTGGTGAATCATTTAGCCTTGGTAAGCCTCCATTTCCTGTTGATGTGCTCTGTCTTTGAGACCTATAATGGAGAACATGCCTTATCTCCCTTTTCAGGTACCTAACTCGTTGCAATGGCCCCAATGTCTTCCTCTCCAGTCTATCCTCACACTGCCACAAGCTTGGCCTTCCTAAAACATAGCTACAGCCATGTCACTGCATTGTTCCCAAGTCTTCCGTGACTTCCAATATTCTAAACGATCTCTTCCCTCTCCTCCCTTCCCCTCCCCTCCCCTTCCCTTCTCTCCCTTCCTCTCCTTTTGTCCCCTTTCTTTTAAAATTGTTGCCTATCTCCCAGCAAAACATTTGATGGCACATCACACATGTAGAGCCCCAGTACACGCATGCACAACTGAAATGCATATGTCTGTGCCCATCTGATCTGGTGTGGTATTAAGGGAACTAGCAGCACTTACGCTTGTCACAGCTGGGGCCGGTGTACCCAGAGTAGCACTCACAGGTCCCATCGCCATGTATTCCACTGTTGCATACTCCATGCACGCAGCTGCACACTGCAGACAGAAAATGGGAATTTTTCGTTACCTGATGTAGACTTCCTCCAAAGATTCTGGAAGGATACTGTTTCAGATAGTGTTTATTGAGATTCTGCTTGATGAAGTGGGCAAAACCATGGTTTGAAGCCCTAGAGACCCTAGTTTGAACCTTGGCTTCTTTTTATTAGCTTCAGTTTATAGTAAGTCCCCACATACGAACAAGTTCCATTCTGAAAGTGGGTTCGTAAGACCAATTTGTTCGTAAGTCCAACAAAGTTAGCCTAGGAACATAACTAACACAATTGGCTATATAGTACTGTACTGTAATAGGTTATAATAATTTTCACACAAATAATACATAAAAACAAACACAAAAAATAAAGAAAACGTTTTTAATCTTATAGTACAGTACCTTGAAAAGTACAGTACAACAGCTGGCATACAGGGGCTGGCATCGAGTGAACAGGCGAGAAGAGTGACTGACTGGAGGAGGTGGGGGATGGTAGAGCTGAAGGATCGCCAGCAATAGGAGATGGAGGGCGAGCTGCAATTCCACTCACACCTGACGTTGATGGAACAGGTTCTGGTTCCTTGCTGGCACCAGATGCATGCTCACATCTTTGAAAGTTTGCAACTTGAAGGTTCGAACTCTAAGGTTGTTACATGTCCCACCTCAATCCCGTCCTTCATCCCCATGGGAACTGTCCTCCTTTAGGTCCTTATCTTGTTTTGCCTGGACTATTGCAGTAGCACTTTACCTGGACTCATTATTCGATTTCTCACCTCTCCATTTTATCCATTTCATTTGATCAGTAATGGTATCAAGGTGGTGTTCCTCCAAATATCTCAGTGACTCCCAATTGCTAACCAAATGAAATCTAAATTCCTCTGTTTGGCAAACAAGGCCCTCTCCAAGCTGACTCCAACCTTTAAAAATTTTCATTGTCATCTTTTGCCACTTCATTTTATGTGTCTTAGGATCGAAGTGCATGGGATGACTCACTAGAGTTCATCTTCCTTCAAAACACATGTTGAACATCTACTACTTACAGGGCGCTGTGCTTGGGATTAATGATCCAAAGTCCCTGCCCCCAAAGAGCTCACAGTCTGAGGGCGGAAGAAAGCAGCCCATCATAATGAGGTGTGATAGATGCTAAGATGTGACAGGTCAATAGCCATGGGGGCTGGCCAGGAAGAGATGGGGGGAGCTGGTCTAGGAAAGATCGCGCCCTGTGGACGCAGCAGGACACGCATCCTGTACTTTCACTCCTTCATGCTCTTGCCCCCACTCTGCTCCCTTCTGCATGCAATTGAAATCCTCCTTATCCTTCTAGGCCAGCTAAAGCCCCTCTCCTCGGTGGTACCGTCTCAGAGGTGCCAAGACAGAATCTGTGCTCCCCTGGGCAGTACTTTCTTTGTACCTCATTCACTATCACCTCCTCCTGCAACTACTACTTTTGTCATGCCAGCCAGCCAAGTACCACCAGGAACACAACAGTGGTCCAAGTCGGCAGCAGGGGCGAGGGGTCATGAAGAAGCAGCAGTAGCCACTCGTGTTAACCGGGAGAGGTGGCCATTGGGTTGCCCACTGTCACTGTTTATTTCTCTATTCGGACAGGATAAGGCAGTGGCCTAGTTTTCGTCTTGTTCCAGCACAGATAGAGCGAGCCATTGATGGTGACATTCTACGAAATTGCAGGCCAGCGACCAGCCGACAGCTGTCAGGGCTGCGTTTTTCTCTCTCAATCTGGTGAGGTACTACATATGGAAAATGGGAGACAACTAGCTCCAGTGCTCATTCAAATTACTGAAGAATTAAACTGGATTTGCAATTGGCATCCTCCCTTTAAAAACTGATTTGCTGTTGTTTCTATGTTAGCAGAGCACTTTGATGTCCACCCATGGCTGTAGCTTTTGGAACAGATGAGCTCCAGAGGGAAGTCAAATTCATCGTGGAGATAATAGGGGTGAGGAGGGGGTGTACTACGGGCTCAGTAGAGAAGACGCGAATTAATTCAGTTAAAAAATATCTACCCAGGGCTTCCCTGGTGGCGCAGTGGTTGGGAGTCCGCCTGCCGATGCAGGGGACGCGGGTTCGTGCCCCGGTCCGGGAAGATCCCACATGCCGCGGAGCAGCTGGGCCCGTGAGCCATGGCCGCTGAGCCTGCGCGTCCGGAGCCTGTGCTCCGCAACGGGAGAGGCCACAGCAGTGAGAGGCCCGTGTACCGCAAAAAAAAAAAAAAAATCTACCCAGCTCCTACCTAGGGGCGGGCACTGGATTAGGCACTGGGTGTACAAATAAGAGTAACTCACAATATCTAAATTCAAGCGGCTCACAGTATAGTGGGGCAGCTGAAGTCTAAGAGATACACTGCTTCTGCACATCCTAAATGCTGTCATGCAGCCCATGGAGAGGCTGTGGAGGCGGAAGGGGGGAGTCGAATGTGACTCAGCCCCTGCTCCCAACTTAGATGCTAACTACAAGGGCCGTCCTTGTCACTGAGCCTCCCTTCTAGGCACGAGCCTCTCCCCAAGTCCTGTCTTCCAGCACAGCCCATGTACTGGATTAACTGACCTGGCACGGGTAGCTTTCGGGAGCCTCTGACACGCACTGCAGGGCCGCCAGCCACTGCCAAGAAAGTGTCCTTGGGAAGGAGACGTGAGTGGCAGAGGGATTCCCAAAGGTCATTTAAAGAGCCCTGGGTATTTGTTAAACCAGCTTCAGCAAATCTCTAGAGACATGTGAAACCTGGGGTGTATGACTTTAAAGTAGCCAAAGCCACGGCCACTGGGGTCAGAGGGACAGAGCACAGAGCCCCTGTGCCGTGCCCCTGGCAGAGTGAGCTGCCCTCTCTCATGTTCCCGTATCATCCCATGTGTACCGTGCACATAGGCTCATAAGTGTCTCCCACATTTCCAGCTCCTTGGGAGTGGGGACCTAATCTCTCCCCTCTTTGGATGCCCATCACCTGTCACGGGTCTAGTGCGTGGTGGGTGCCTGCCAGGGCCGAATGGTGCAGTGGTTTTTGTGCCCAGGTTCTGGAGTCAGACACTTGGGGTCAAACCCTGCCCCTGTCCCTGTAATAGCTGCGTGACCTTGAGCAACCTCTCTGCTTCTTCATCCATAAAATGAGGAACCCAGCTTGCAGAGTTTTTCCAAAGAGATCCTGCATGCCAAACCCTGTGCACTGCCTGGTGCCCAGCAGACACTCAGCAAATGCTTGCTACTGTTTAACAAGACACGACCGTGGGATTGATTCGGGTCATATCAGAGAAAGTGGGCTTTGCCTTCTGCCCTCACCTGGGGTGAGGCACTGAGCAGGCGAGGGTCTTGGCAGCTGAGATGAACACCCCTGGCTGATGCAGCTTGAAATCATCTCTAAGCAAATCGAGAGTCAGGTAGGAGAATGCTCTGGCAGCAGGTTAAAGTCAGTGTTAAAAATAAACCGTAATTCATAGCACTGTCCTACTTACAGGCAGAATTGCCACCACCAACGACCACTGCCTCACGGGTGAAACAACACTGGCACCCAGTGGATGCCTGGCTGAAAAGGTTTCCAGGTTCCCCTACGGGAACCTGCCAATGGGAAATGACCAGCCATCACTGAGCCATCATTCATTCGTTCATAGGTGAGTGAAGAATGTTCAGCTTACTGTGGGATTGCTCTTGTCCTCGCTTAATACTTGCTTCTATTGAGTGGTTATGACTTGCCGCTGGGAGCTTTTCTATGAGTCAGTCCCCCGAGGCAGGTATTATTCTTCCTGTTTTGTAGATGAGGAGGGCTTAGAGAGGTTAAATAGCTTGCCCCAGGTCCCACAGCAACTGGGCTTGGTTTCAAACACAGGCCAGCTGACTTGAAGCCTGCTCTCTTAGCCATCACGTTTGAGAGCTGCGCTATCCAATATGGTAGCCACTAGCCACGTGAGGCTATTTAAATTTAAACTGAGTAACATGGGCTAAAATTTAACCGTCAGTTCCTCAGTTGCACTAGCCACATTTCAGGTACTCAATGGCCACACGTGCCTTGCGGCTACCATGTTGGAGAGTGTAGGTCAGGACATTTGATCATCTCACAAAGTTCTGTTGGAACCCAGAACTGGGAGTCTTATCTCCCGAGTCTCAGTTTAGGTTTCCAATTTTCTTACTTAAAAACTTGGGTTTCCAAACCCTTTCGCTTGCCCTTTCTCCATGGCACAAACAAGTGTAAAGGAAAGCCACTTTTTAAATTTGGAGATGTTTGGAATCTCCATGTACATCTGTGCTCACAGGCAACCAACACCAGTTTCTTGGAGGCAACATGAGCTCATCTTCTTTCTAAATTTTCATCCACAAACAATTACTTGGCTTTCTTGGTGAGTAAGCAGCGTTGGTTGCTGTCTTTCTTCCTATTTCAATATTTATTTAAAATATGTGATTTAAATTCTATTATGGTAGGGAAGGACCAATTTGAAAGACATGTTCTTTATAAACGATTGATTATACTTAATAGTTTACTGTCCTTTAATATAATGTAATGTTAAAAAAAACCACTCAGAATGCTAACATCTGTTTTAAATTTGCTTTTGCTAACACTCTTATGAAATAATCTTTTATAAAGCGGTGGATGAAGAAAAAACTAAGATTGGGGGACACTAGGGAATAGTAGGTATTAATAATAATAATTGCTATCATTTGTTGTGCAGTGATTATCTCATGAGTTCCTCGTAATAATTCTAAAGGAGGCAATATTATTTCTATTTTTACAGATGAAGACGCACAGAGCACGCTTAGTAAACTTCAGGTTCCCACAATTTACAGCAGCCCTGGGGCGGAAACCCAGTCTGAGTCTAAAGCTGGAGCTCTCGTCACCTCTACACGACGCCTCCCAATAACATGTTCCTCGGTCAGGACAAGAGGGCTGGAGCAAGTTGTATCATTCATTCACTCCCTCATTTGTTCATTCATCCAGCCAAGAGTGTAGCGTGTGTCTACCACGCAGGCTGCACTGTGGAAGGTACTGGAGATGAAGAGGTATGACAGCGCCCGCTTTCAAGGATCCCATGGATTAGAATGAGATCATGTCTTTGCTGTTGCAGATGAAACTTATTACAGAGTGAGCTAACTTGGGGGGGCTGGGATGTCTGTTTTTCTTGCCCAAAATATTTGAATCAACGCAGCGTCTACCAAATATGATTTTTCTATAAAAGCCAAACTGAGGTGGTGTTGGACAAAGGCCACTTGACTTACCCTTTTTGGGAGACTATGAATCTGGCAGACACTGTCCCTACTACGCCCACATTCTCTAGGCCTTCCTTGCCAAGCCCATGCATTCAGCTGCCTTCCAGTAGCCTGTGAACACTTCCTAGGAAGCCTGCTCTGCCTGGGTGCCCACTGGGGGTTGGAAGTGCCAGGGAATGGACAACTCCCCTCCAACGACCGCATGTATTAGTTTCCTACTGCTGCTGTAACAAATTACCACAAACCTAGCATCTTAAAACAACACACATCTATTGTCTTACAGCTCCGGAGGTCAGAAATCCAAAGTAATTGCTCTAAGATCAAGGTGTTGGTGGTTGTGTTCCTTTCTTGAGAGGAGCATCCCTCTCCCTGCCTTTCCCAGCTTCTAGAGGCTGCCCACATTGCCTGGCTCGTGAGCCGCTTCCGCCTACAAAGCCAGCAAGGGCTGGTGGAGTCCTTCTCACGTCTCGTCACTCTGACACCACATCTTCTGCCTCTGCCTTCCTCGTCCACATTTAAGGACCTTTGTCATTACGCTGGGTCCACTCAGATTATCCAGGATAGTCTCTTTATGGTAAGGTCAGAAGATTAGCAACCATAATCCCATCTGCTAGCTTAATTCTCCCTTGCCATGGAAGGCAACATATTCCCAGGTCCATGGGATTAGAATGTGGACATTCTGGGGAGTGGTCATTATTCTGCCCACTACACCATGGCTCCCTCTCCCCTCAGGTAAAGTAACTCCAAGGTGAGTGTTCTACACGGACTCCAGAGTTCCCCAGGGGATTAAGCTCTGGTCATCCACACTGGCCTCTGTCTTGACAACACACCCTTTATTTCCTCTGTGTCACTTTCTCAGTGTTTCCCTGGGTCACCTCTCAAATATGCTACTTGTACTAGAATGCTTGCAGAATGCTTCTGGGTCAACTTCTGCGGAGAACCAGAAATAAGAGAGTGGACAAACCCATGTCAAGAACAAAGCCATAATCTGCAAATTGGGACAAACAGCCTCTGATCACCTCAGGTATTTATCTGTGAACTTCCCAAAGAAGGACAGATTAGATGTGCTGGGACCTGTGGTGGATATAGAGGCCCCTGACGAGAAGGTCAGTGCTGAGACCATGGTCTGGGAAGACCTCATGGAGAAGCTGGGCAGGCAAGGAACTGGTGGATGTTGGATCCTGGAGCCTGGGGAGAGGGATACTATGCCCCAGAGTTTGCCAGGAAGCATTCCTGGTGAGTAGCTGCCTGCAAGCACTGAAAACCACAGACACACTGTCTCTCCTTATCAGATTTCTTGTCAACTCTCTGTTTTGCCTGTGTAGACTTGGTTATAGAGAACCGTTCTGTGTTTTTCCCCCAGGGAACTTTATTTCTGGGGTCTTGAGCTATATAAGCCATGTCTGACTTTCAACCTCCACAATTGCATTCGATGACACAAAAGTGAGACATACTTGCTGAACAGCTGGGTCCAAATACGTTGTCATCAGTGCAGGTTTCACAGGCTGTTCCGCCAAATCCTTCCTGCAGGACACCCCAGGGAGAGAATGTTAGACCCAAGCGATCTGTGCTGCCCACAAAGCCCTTGGATTTCTAACTGACTTGTCTGGTCAGCGTTTGTTTCTCAAGTGTTATCTTCCCTCTGTGCCTGTCCTGAAACTCCTTCTTTCTCTTTCTTTCTTCATTGCTCTTTTTGTGTTATAATTTGTACATCCATCCCTGCATCAGTTATTACTAAGAGTCTGGAGCTCTTCAGAAGAAAGCTGCTTCGTTAGTCCAAAGATACAGAGAGCAAGTACTGATGGCTAAATCATAATTCCACCCAAGGGGGAAATGAAAACGCTTTCAGTTTTGCATTTCTGAAGACAATTGAGCTCAATCCTTTTCAGAAGGATTTCTTTGTATTTCCATTGTCTAAGGCTTGAAGCTTGCAAAAGTCCCTTTCGTGGGACAGCAAAGAAATGCCTCAATTGGCAGGCGCAGTGCTCAAGCATGGGTGCGGAGGACAGCTCCGAAGACTCGTCTGTTAATAACGGTGGTTTTTAACAGTAACAATGCCAAATTTCTGTAGCCCTGCATGGTTTCACAAAGTATCTTCATATACATGATCTCATCTCACTTTTTCAACAAGTCTAATCGCGTAGGTATTATTATTAGACTCATTTTACAGATGGATACACTCAAAGGTCCCCCAGCCTCTAACATGTCATTTTGTTGCACACTGCATTTTTTTTTTTTTTAACTAATATCGCTACTTCTTAGAGTCTCCACCCAGTGTGTTTACAGAGGGACCCCACAGGTAAGGAGAAAGCAGAGTCAGGGAGGAGGAGAACAAGGTTTTGAACTCACTTGGCAGGAGCAGCTTCCGTTTCCTTCCATGCCGTCAGCACATCTGCCCCGGCCACTGCAGGGCGCCCTCGCTCCTCCCGGGCACTCTGGGGAATCAAAGGGCAGATTCATTTGTTTGTGACTGCACAGAAGCATGCTGCAAGGATGCATCAAGCATCTACTACATGCCGGGTAGTGTGCTAGTTGCCAGGGATAAGAAATAATTGAAGACCTTGCCTGCTTTATCTAGGGTTACGTAGGGGAGGCAAGTGAATCACAGAGTAGTCAGGTGCTGTACTAGGACGCATCAGATTGGCTACCATTTCTTGAGCATTTACTGTACACTTTACAATCATCTAATTAAATCATCCCCATTACAACCCTCAGGGGTTCCTACTGGTGCTAGTTAGCAGACGAGGAGACTGAAGTTCAGAGAGGTCACATAACTCGCCCAAAGTCTCACACTTCATAAGTCGCAAAGCCAGGGATTTAGCTCAGCCCTTAGCATGACTCTAAAACCAGGCCAATTAATCAGTGTGCTAGACAGGGTATTGAGGGAGCCCAGGGAAGGGAGCTACTGATACTGCCTTGCGGAGTCAAGGAGACATCCCTGAGGAGGAGTCATTTAAGCTGGGGTTTTGAAGGCTCAGTAGGAGTTGGCCATGCTTAAAAGAGAAGAGCATTTCAGGAAGAGGGAACAGCAAGTACAAAGTCTTAGAGTTGTAAAAGGGCATGACCTGTTCTGGGAATGATATAAAGTTTGGCAGGGTTGGAACTTGGGAGTTGGGGGGAGGGTATGGGGAAATGGTAGTCGATGAGGAATAATAGATTGGCTGGGGCCAATTAATGAAGTACTTTGTGTGGCAAGCAAAGGAATTTAGTTTTCACTCAGAAGCTAATTCCAAACAAGCATCAGTTTGCACGTTTGGGCTGTGCTAGACCTGAATCAGAGTGTTTATAGACATTTATTAGAGGATTTCACAGTCATTCACTAAACATTCAGGGACCTACCATGTGCCAGGCATTATATTACACATTGGGGTGGAGGGACATTTAGCTAGAAAGTCAGATATTAAATGTCCAAAATTAAATATAAGATTTAAAGTAATGGTAAGAGACAGAAGTTTAAGGTACTGCTGTGATGAAGATGAAAAAAAGGTTGGGTTTTTTTTTCTTTCTTTCTACACTTGCTGTCATTCTACACTTTGAGTGCTGAGTTGACATGGGTTTAATGCTGGTTTGCTTGAGTTCTGATTGTTAAAATGAGGGATCTGGACTAGCAAACACCAAGCAGAAATCGTGCAATGCTCATGAACTGTGTTTGTGTGAACGAGGCAGGATCAAATGTTATCCCAAATTAAAGTTAGCAAGGCAAATGCTTTCCAAAAAATAGCTAATGATATGGAGTTCTAGATAATAATAAAGGATTCAAAGCAATACCCTGAAGTTAAGTCCCATTTTTAGCCCCATTTTCTAGATGAGGCAACTAAGGCACAGAGTAGCAGAGTGACTCGGCCAAAGTCAGCCAGCTGGTGAGCTTAATGAGAGACTCACTTACCAGAAGCACCCAACCTTCCTGCCCTCCCTCCCCTCCTACCACCACGGACAAAGACCTTTGTCCAAAGCTCTCCTGTGCCGTGAACTTACTGTCACATATCTCCCGAGAAATGCAGAATCTGGGTCAACCACAGGGCTAGATCACACAGTTTGAGCCTGTGGTCCTTCCTTCCACAACGGTGGCAGAGCCAGGCTTCCAACCCTGGTAGATGCTCCAGAGTCGACTACATTGTTCATCGCTGTTCATCCTCACCCAGCACCGCTCCAGACCAGAATCACAGCACAGATGCAGACACGGTTATGAAGTGAGTAAAGGAGAAGACACGCTGAGGTGTAGCTACCGTTTATAAATCACTTAGAAAACCAGTACGTTGGTTTGGGCTGTTCTCACCAGCTATAGGGCAGTGGCTACACAAGATGAAATGCTGTCAGGAAAAAACCCAGAGTTTTCAATCAGAGTGTTCTGGGTTTGAATCCCAGCACAACTCTTTGCTAGCTGTACCTCTTTGGGAAAGTCGATGCCTGGCTCTGAGATTTGGTTCAAGCATCGTCCTGGCAGGTTGTGGTAGGGACTGGAAATATTAGGCACCCAAGAAATGGTGGTAGTTAGTACTTAGAGTGGATACTCTCCATCCTCTCCAGTTTCTGTTCTTTCAGGCTGGCCTTGTAGCAGATAACAACACTCAGGAAAAAAATGATTGGGCACCTGTTTGAATCAGGACCATGGAAGGTCCTGGGTATAGAGGGTGAGCACACAAACCTGGTCCCTGTTTCCACGGTCCTGCCAGTCCAGTGTGGAAAGAGTCATGGATTAACAGACAATCAGATAAATACTGGTTTAAAAACCAGGAGAGAGGTTGTCCAGGGAAGAGACCTAGAGCTCTGATCACTCTACTGGAGGGCACCAACACTGACCTCAAAACACTAATCCTGCATGGCCCAGGTCCCTGAGATTTGGGCTCAACAGAGGGCAACAGCTGGATCACTAAGGAAGGGCCTGGTTAAAGAGTGTGGTCTTTAGCTTTAAAAAGGCATCAGTAGGGAGGGTGGGAGAGAGGGAGACGCAAGAGGGAGGAGATATGGGGATATATGTATATGTATAACTGATTCACTTTGTTATAAAGCAGAAACTAACACACCATTGTAAAGCAATTATACTTCAATAAAGATGTTTAAAAAAAAAAGGCGTCAGGAGGCGAGGATGAAGAGGGCCTAATCAAGCAGGTGCCAGGTCCACCTTTGAAGCTCATCTGAAAACCAACTGAACCACTTGAATTCATGATACTGAGCAAGGGGTGCTAAGAGAGGGTTTCCATAGACAATGGGCTATCAAACAGTTCTTCTCTCATTGCCTGGTGCTATGGGGCCCTTCTTGGGATAAGATGGTACTTTGGGAACCAGGCCCAGCTCTGGGCAGAGCCAGGATAGAGGTGACAGCTCTGCCACTGTTGCTCTCTCTTGACCCCCGTGCCTCTCCCTAGGGCTAGGTGTTCAAGGTGCTCTCTGGATGACCCCCAGCTTGCCTTCAGGGCTGGCTCAGAAGAGCACAGGGCCTCTGCCACCCCGAGACGCAGTCATCAGTGCCACCTCGCACAAATGCTCTCCCAGGCCTTTTCACTTTTGTAGGCAATGACGCCTGAACCCCAGGCTCCCCACAACACATTCCATCCAATAGTCTCCTCCAGGCCTTGAGCCAACTCCCCTCCCTTCCCTTCTGTCCAGCCCAAGCAGACCACCATGTGCTGTGCCCCAGTGCCCTCCCCTCCACACACTGCCTGTGCCTGTCCGCCCTCAAAGTGGTTCTCCCTGACCCCGTCTCTGAGGCAGATTCAACTTTTCCATCCTCTGGGTGTCCCTTCTACTCGGCTCATCCCTTGTTACCACATACAGAGCGGAAAATGGGGGCAGAGTCATCCACTGTGGATATAACTAGATTCTAGGCTACAGGCTGATTGCAGAGGAATTGGGGAGTTTCCCCTCATCCCAGCCCCCAAGAGTGTGACATTGTATCCAGGAAGCCTGGGCCTCCTTTTTTTCTTAGGGGATGGTTAGCAATCCTTTCTTTTTAAAAATGTAGGCAAGTGTTCCTCTAAGTGTGATCGTGATGGAGTGGTTACAAAGGCAGATTCCGAAGACCCTCTTCTCTCCAGGAACGGTAGCTGTGAAAGTGCACCTCTCAGGGCACAATTTCCCTGAAATCCACCACCCTCTTCATGAAGCCACACTTTCCACTTCCAGCCAGTGACTGAGCACAGCAGGGATACCAGGGCAGGCCCGTTCTCACAAGACAGAGGACCCCTTCTGTTGAGTGACTGTGGCTGATGGAGGACTCCCCACCAGCTTTACCAAATTTTCTTAGAACTACGTGTAGTCTAAGACTTTTCCATCCAGCCTTTCTTGGTTCTCTCTCTTACAAGGGTTAGCGCTCCATCCTTGACTGATGGCTCTCCCCACTTCTCCTGGCTTCTTTCTCATTTTCCCTTGCAGGCACTTCTTTTAATTAATCTCATGCATCTCTAGCCCTACCTCGGCAGGTGCTTTTAGAGGATGTAGGCTAATACACCAGGGCATAGAGAGGCTTTGTGCAAATTGGAAAAAGCCTTCCCTACCCCAACTGCCCTTGTAGATATATCCCCACAGACACTAGACTTGGCAAGCAGATGAAACTAAAATCAAGACGTGGCCCTACCTGAGGGTGGACCAGGCCCACACCAGAGTGCGTGGCTTGGTGAGCCACAAGCGTGGGCTGGATTTCAGTCTAGACTCACCCTGTTGGCCAATAATAACCTGTTGCAACCTGATGCAAAGTCTGGCACTTCACACCCACTGAATGAGGATCTCTGGGTGTAAGACCCAGGAATATGCATTTTAACAGGCTTGACAGTAATTCTACTGCCCAGTGTTGTTTGAGAACTGCCGGGTACGCTGTAGGAATTAATGTGAATGGTCCCCGCCAGGGAGGCTGTGAAGGTGCTGCCTAGGCTGCTGGGAGGTGATGAGCTGATGGGCCTTTGCATGGGGATGGTTGTGTGGTGCCTGGGCTGGGCACCAGGCAGGGCCCTTGGTGCTTCAGCAAGGTTCTGCTGTGAATGAGCTTCGTGAGGAGGGAGTGCCTGGACACTTAAGTGGACCAAGACTTACTTCAGAGGAAAGTGCAGCACCGAGCAGCTGGTGGAAGGCCAGCGTCCTGCCCTCATGGAGCTTACATTCTAGGTTTCAATGAACACCGGGGACACGAGATCAAAAAGATATACTCTGTGACTTCAGGAAGATTACAGTCTAATTCCTTCATTTAGAAATTATTTTTCATCAGGAAATAGCAGGAATGAGGGAGGGGACATCACTACAAATCTTAGAGACATGAAAAGGATAATAAGCGGATATTACAAACAACTTTATGCCAGTAAACTTGATGAAGTAGATGAGGTGAATAAATTTATTGTTCCAAACTACCAAAGATCATTCAAGAGAAAACTGATAATCTGAATATCCTTATATTTATTTAAGAAATTGAATTTGAAGTTAAAATCCTCCCCACAAAGAAAACTTC